CTCCTCCTCCTCTCTCCTCCTCCTCCTCCTCCTCCTCCGCCCTCCTCCTCCATCTCCTCCTCCTCCTCCTCCTCCTCCTCCTCCTCCTCCTCCTCCTCCTCCTCCTCCCCTCCGCTCCGCTCCACGGGGTGGGGGGTGGGCCCTCTCGGGCCGGGGCACTGCGCCAGGTGTTCCGCCCTTGGGTGTCATTGCCAGATCGGACGCAGAACAGGCCTCGGAAAAGAATAGCGAATTCTCGTGCCACATTCATCTGTGAACGCCTCCCCCTCCCACCAATGTTCAAAGTTGGCGGTGGGTCTGACGAGTTGCACCTCGACCGCAGTCTCCCCCGCGCGTGCCAACTTTGAGTTTGGGGGGCAGGGGGCGTGTTCACTAATTGTTTCCCTCTACCGTACCCTCACTGGTCTGACGTATATTTCAGCACAGGCCAGCTGCACGGACGTGCTGCGGGGTTGAATTGAGCTAGGCATGCAAAGCGTCCTTGCCAGGGATGTCGCTCGAAGGCGCAATCTCGTCGTCGTCCTTCTCGCAAGTTGCCAACACAGCCCTGACCCCTCCCAATCAGAGTTCTGGTTGCATGCAGCTGTACTGGCCAATTGTCTGTCTTTGCTCTGAACCCCGCCACTTTCTGCTCCTCGAGCCCCACTCGTCACTGACTGACTCACCATGTCACCCTTCTAGTCTGCAGACTGATGGATTTGCCCTGACTGATTACTGCTTGCATGGTCTGACAAGCACCCTCTGACTTACAACTGCCGACGCCGCCGCAGTTGCTTGGCGGTCTCCCTGGTGTCGCATCGCCTCTCTGTCTTCAGTCACCTACAATCGCAAATGGGCTGCGCGCGAAAGACACGAGAGGAGGTTGAACATGCTTGCCTATATTGGTTCTTCACGAAGAAATGTGTCACCATCCACGCCGCAGTTTGCCAAGGCCAACTCGAACTTCGTGCGAGACCCTTCGAGATGTCAACCAAGGGCGAGGCGTTGACCCCCAAGGCCAGAGGGAGGTCGATGGCGCTGGCGAGCGGGCACTGACACGTCTACAAATACACCCCCCGCGATCACGCGTGCACAAGAGACCCCGTTCAAGAGTCAGGCGGCCGAACGCTGACCGCGCAGGTGTGAGCGCAGGAGTGAGTGCTCGCCCTCGGCGGCGCTCGGACCAGGCGAATGCGGGAACACCAGGCCCTTCTGAGCCCCTGATCTTGCCGAGTTCGGCACGCTCCCCGACAAGCCCCCCCTCTCCGCACCGACACTCCACAGTGGCCGCCCCTGGAAACGGGGAAGCCCCACAGTGCTGACGCCCCGAGGCAAAGTCCGCCGACCTGCGCCCGCCTCCGGCAGCTGGGCCCGCCGCCGTCCTGTGCCCGCCAGCCTCCCGCCCGCCTCCCGCCGAGGGCAGGGCGCGCCGCGGGCGAAACAGGGCACACGACGATCTGGCCATCGCTCGGACGTCCACTCCCTGTGTTTTTTTGTTCGGCGTCGTGCGTGGCGTTTTCGCCAACTGTTGAAGGATGCTCCTCGATGGTCCTCGCCGAAGGAAAACAGCACACGTCCGAGCGATGCCGAGCGATGGCCTCGGAGGCCTGCTCTGCGGGGGCCCCGCCGCCACCTCTCGTGCGCCCGCCCACGCGGGAGCGCCGCGGCGCGCGGGGCCTGGGGCGTCGTCGCGCCACTTCGCGCTGGTCCAACGGATGCGGTCTGCGGAGTGGGGGGGCACGCCAGGTCTCATAGGGAGGGGGGGGGGCGGGGGGGGGCAAAACCCTCCCCAACGAGCAGTTTCAGACTCCCCCCTAGCCTGGCCATGCAATCGGCGGCCTTCTGCCCAGACCGCCCCAAGCCTTCCAGGACAGCTCAGAGCAGGCAAAACAGACACCCCTTGTTATGAAATTCGGAGCAAGGGGGGAGGGAGGAGGGGAGAGGGAGAGTGGGGGGAGCGAGAGAAAGAGAGAGAGAGAGAGAACAAAAAAAAAAAAAACGCGGAGAGGGAGAGAGAGAGAGAGAGAGCGAATGAAAGAGAGAGGGTGGCAGAAAGAGAGAAAGAGAGAGAGAGAGAGTGAGGGCATCAAGGGGCCCGTTAACTTGTTTCGCAACTTGAACTCCTAGACATATTAGCCACTTTCCGAAGGCCAGCTTTCCGGCCCGAGTCAATGTCTGCCGACTCGAAGGGCCAGACACGAATCCCCAGAAGCCGAACATGGAGAAAGACATACAAGTAAGAAAAAGCAACGTCCAGGCAAGGCCCCCAAACATACAAAACGCACTGGCAAGCAGCAACACATGCCCTCGGAGAGGAGGGCAGGAGGAGGGGCATGCGGTTGCAGGAATGTCTGACTGCCGACAGCACTGTGCTCCGCACGCGCACCTTGCATGTAACAGGGGATACGTCAACCCCGAATGATTCCAGGATTCGTGGAGTTTTCGAATGGACCAGAAATTTGGTGCCCAACCCCGGGATATACGAGGGGGGGCGTCCATCCTTGATAAGAGTGCGTCCGAATAGTCCCCGTGGGGTTGCATCCCAGAACCCCCCTCCTTTTTTCAGCCGCTTCATATTTCGTCGAAAAGCAGGGGGTGGGATAGAAACATCGCCTGCGATGTTCGGCGTGCCCGAGGTCGGGGCGCGGCTGGTGGCATTCGCGTTTGTGCTGCGCTGGCGGATGGCACGCCAAGCGACCCTGGTCGACTGCGACGCAGCGTGGCTCTGCATGCGGACACCGAAGGCCTGGACTTCGGCACGGCGGCTCCCGACGCGCTTAGGGCAGCGCCGCGGGGGTCTCCCCTGGGGGCTGGCGCCGCGCTGTGGCGGGATGCGGACGACGATGCCGACGCCAGTGCCGCAGAGTCCAACGCGAAAGTGCACGCGACAACGCTGTCGGAGAAGCAGATGGGCACGGCAGTACAGTTGGTTGTGGGCCTTGCTCTGACTCTGCGCGGCACAGAATGACGTGCCCCTGCGGCGCCACGGTGTTCGCGCGCGCGTCGGCCGAGGCGGCCCGCGAGGCCGCGGCCGCGCCAGCGCCAGTGGCGGCGGAGGCCACGCCGAGCGGATACAGGGGATCGTGCCGGTCGTCGCGCTCCGCATGAAGCCGGTGGAGTTCCCTGGCGCGGTTCGGCGCGCGCGCTGCCCCGTAGCGGTCGTTCCGGCATCGCCGCGCGCTCCGCGACCGCCTCGAAGGGCCCCGGGGGGGGGCGACTGCCCTGCCGCGCCGACGGGCCGCTGAGGGGGGCGGCTGCCCTGTCGCGAGGGGGCGCGGCGGCTGGCCATGGCGCTGGAGGACCCCCGCAGGGGATCCTGGCACCGACCCACCCCAGGAGGCGCAATGCCATCTGCTCTGAATGGTCCCTGGGTTTCTTGCCGCCGTTCCGCTTTCCTTATTGTCAAGCGCGCAGTGTCGCTGCAAAGTTCAGGGTGCGTGTGTGCGTGTGGGTGCGTGCGGGCGTGGGCGGGTGTGCGTGGGTGCGTGCGCGCGCGTGCGTGTGTGTTCGACTTAGTTGCCCGCCCGTAGCGGAGACACCGCGTCATCGCGCCGTCTCGCACCAGGCTGCGCGCCAAGGCAAGCAATGCCGGCTGCTGTGGATGAGAGGGAGGAACGTGGGTGGGGCACGGTCCACTGTGCAACCACCCAA